GGCCACATCGCTCACCTGAGCAAATTGGCTAGGAAAAAGCACAAATCAGTTCAGTATTGAAAAGTTTACATGGAGGGGGGGGGGGACTTGAATTTAAACTACCTGAGGATGCTTCCATATCAGTTTAACAAAGGGCTTTGCTATTCTTGAGCAGAAGATTTTTTCTTGTATATTCCTTTCCAAAAATTTGATCCCCCATTGTGGCCCCTCCCTATCCCCAGGGTTTATCATTTGTACAAACTTGAATCTACACTACCTAAGGATGCTTCCATATCAAGTAGACTAAACATGGCTTTTCTGTTCTTGAGAAGAAATTTTTTGCCTAAATATTCCCATGTAAAACTTTGATCCCCCATTGTGGCCCCATCCTATCCATGGGGGTCATGTTTTGAACAAACTTGAATCTACACTACCTGAGTATACTCCTATATCAATATGACTAAACATAGCTTGCTGTTCTTGAGAAAAAGATTTTTTCATAATTTCTTTTGTAAAACTTTGATTCCCCATTCTGGCCCCACCCTACCCCCAGGGGTCATCATTTGAACGAACTTGAATCTACACTATCTGAGTATGCTACCATATCAATTAGACGATGGTTGAAGGGTGTGTTCCCCCAACGTCTACTGGACAAAACCAACATCTAATTATCACACTCAATTAAAGCGTCTTCTAAGGGGTACATTTAGAGTTAACTTTATGACTATACCTGCATTTATTAAAGGAGGAATTCTACAGCAACATTTTATTTTTTGGATCTTTTGAAACATGGTTTCAGCATAGAAAGATTAATAAAAGATATTTATTATTTTACTTGATTTTTTTTTCAGAGGAAAATTAAATATATTGAAGTTTTTATCCATGGGTTAAAAAATGCTAAAAATTAGGTTTTATTTTTATAAATATATTTTTATCAAAACTTAAAATAAAAAGCTTAATATCTGACTTTTCTTGACGTGTTTTATTAGATATTTATATTGTGCATTTATTTATACGACAAACTTTAAACTCTAAAGGCTCTTATTTGCAATTAAAACAATCTTTTCATTTTCTCCTAAAAAGCCCCCAAAGTTCATAAAAATTAATTTAATATCAATCTTTCCATACTTACATATGTAAGCCATATTTCAGAAGAGATATTTTAAGACCAGTTAAATAAAATTTCCGTGAACATGTTACAAGTAGCATTCTTTCTTAAACAGGAAAAATCTATCGATCATATATATATATATATATATATATAACATTTTTTCTTTTCAAAATATCTTATTAATGAGTTAGATAAATTTTGCTTAAGATACTTTAATTTTAATTTAATTTAGTTTTAATCACGTATTCAAAGTATTAATTTTGAATATTATAACAATAAATAATTTCAACATCATTGTTAGTTTGCATCATAAAATTCGAATATTAAAATAATTTATTTTAGTAAAAGTGTATCAAGAAGCGTTAGATACGATAATAACTTTATTTTATATACCCCCCCCCCCTCCCCACCCCTCCATGAAATTGGATATTTAACAATATTTTTAAAGGTAAGTTGTTAAAATTCTCTCTGCCCTCCTCCCTTCTTCGTTATTTCGTGTCTGAACTTTGATGTAAATAAAACGGTTCTAACATAGATTTTGCTTCCAAACAAACAGGTAGCTATGGCATAAACAGTAAGGGGCAACTTCCCAAAGAAATCTGACAAGCAAAATTAAAATAATAATAAAATAACCCTTGGAAATCCTATTTTGTGTGTTCATGTGTGGGCAATGGCGGACTCTCTCTCTAACTGTAGATTTTTTTTCAAGTGCTGGCGCTCGACCTTACGTCAACAACAAGAGGCCCATGGGCCACATCGCTCACCTGAGCACATTGGCTAGGAAAAAAAGCAAAAAACAATTGGTTTGCTGTTCTTGAGCAGCAGATTTTTTCCCCATATATTCATTTGTAAAACTTTGATCCCCCAGTGTGGCCCTACCCTACCCCCAGGGGTTATGATTTGAACAAACTTGAATCTACACTACCTGAGGATGCTTCCTTGTAAATATGACCAATTGTGGCTTTACTGTTCTTAAGAGGAAGAATTTTAAAGATATTTTCATATAGATATATTTCTTTGAAAAAATTTGATCCCCCATTGTGGCCCCACCCTTCTCCCGGGGGTCATGATTTGAACAAACTTGAATCTACACTACCTGAGGATGCTACCATACAAATATGATCAATCATGGCTTTGCTGTTCTTAAGAAGAAGATTTTTAAAGATATTTTCCTATATATTTCTTTGTAAAACTTTGATCCCCCATTGTGGCCCCACCCTACCCCCGGGGGTCATGATTTGAACAAACTTGAATCTACACTACCTGAGGATGCTTCCATATAAATATGACCAATCATGGCTTTGCTGTTCTTAAGAAGATTTTTAAAGATATTTTCAAATATATATCTATGTAAAACTTTGATCCCCCATTGTGGCCCCACCCTACCCCCGGGGGTCATGATTTGAACAAACTTGAA